TTCTTTATACAGTCTAAGGGTCTAAACTCAAAAAGTATGTTTGCAGACTTGAAATGTCCTCTGCATTTGACCCATCCTTTAACAATGTGCTGCTGGACCAGTCAGGAGCAATGGACCCAACTCCAGATGTGGACTAGGATGATGATTATGGGTACTTCACCAGAGGACTGGAATCTGTTTTGAGTTGCTGGGTAAACAGCGATGCCAACCATAGACTGTATAAAGAAATGGACTATGGGAGTGTGCCCTCATCCATAGCTCCAGTCAAATGAAGAGCCAGTTAAATATTAGGAAATGACATTTATTTACGGACAAAGTATTGAAATAAAAACACCATGATCATGTAGAGCAGGTTAATTTGAACATTTTAAAATGACAGGCCTCGCAGCAGCGGTTACAGAGAAAGGGGCAACAATTTTTGGATTAAAATCATTTGGAGCCAGAGTCGATGGAGCCGGAAGTGCCCCCCGCTCACTTCCAACTCCACACCAGAATCCCCACCTGGTCTCCTCTAGTCCAAGTGATGACAAAAAACACAACATAATTAGAAAAAAGGACACAATAAACCGCTTGATTGTGTCTAAACCCTGACTAAAGAAAGCACTTAGTAAAGCAGCACTACACCTACCTAAACAATGACTTAAGAAAAGCCTGCACACCAGTTTGAATAGCCCTGGCTCACACGCATCATTTCTCTGCAGTCTTTCACCTCTCCAGCTCCAGAGGACAGTGCTTTAGTTGGACACTTCTCTTTGGGCCCGCCTCATTAGTTCGCAGGCAGCAAACCAAATTATGCTCAATTACAAAGTCATCAAAGGCCTCCTGAAGTCCTGGCTCAGCAGCACGGCCCCGGCACAGCCCCTCACAGCAGCAGCGCCGGCCCCTCTCACAGTACTGCTGAAGTCAGGAGCAGCAAACAGAATGTCAACGGAGACGGACCGCAGTCTGACAGAGAGCAAGCACAAGGATGGGTTAAAGGACTAAGTATGGGTTTATGGTCATGGTCTCAATTTTATGAAGCACTTTTCCACCTTCAAGGCACTTATTATCATGGAACGTCACCCATTCACACGCATATTCATACTCCAATGTGCGCAGGCACTGGGGCAAGAGAAGGTTAAGTGCCTTGCCCAAGGACACAATGACTGTATTCATCTATAGGAGCTGGAATCACACCATCAGCATGTGGGTCATCATTGCCCAATGATGTTTATGCTGAGAGCAGGATTCAAACACAGTAAGAAAGCATATTTTACATGCTGTGCTGTGGAATATTCCAGGTAAAATGACAACACGCATCTTTGTGATCATTTTTAAATGTGCATTATATATATAGACAGTTCATGTATTTCTAGCACTTCTTTCATTACAGATGTTTTTATTGCTCAAACAGTACCTTGAAGAACATTGTGGGTGAGTCAATATCATGTGCAGTTCAAAGGACATAAGTAAGGGACTGTATCCATGGTGACCGTGCAAGAGGCTAGCTAACGAGCTAACTAGGGACATTTGAGATGCTACAGACTTGTTACACCACATGTGGCAGCAAATATGGCAGAAGACCTTACAGAGGAAATACTCCCAAACCTTCTAGATTAAATAATTTGAACAAATGAACTATTTCATCATAAAGTGAAAAACCAGAGCAGAGTAAGAGTGAGGCTCTCCTGTTGTGTTCACCTGGGTCTTTCACTGAGGCCCCACACTAGTACATATTCGAGTCGTTTTCGTTGCAGATGCAGTGTTCGTCCACACTAATCTAATGGAAAACGACTCCAAAAATGAAATAATCTGGTGCCTGCAGCTCCCACAAATTCATCTGAGTACAGATCTGATCTGGCACTGTGTGAACGCCTGAAAACATTGATATGCCGACGTAGGAGCTGTAGTGTCCGTCCTTACTGGACCACGTCACTGTGACTTGTGCCTTCCTGATTCGCTGGGTTCGTGACATCGGTCATGTGACACTATTGCGGAAAACAATTTACACAAAGCACAGACAAAGGGGAAACAACGTAGCTAGAACTACTTGCACAGAACAGACTCCCCATTAGCAGAACACCCCTCTGTCACAGAAAGAACACTCATATTCCACTGAGTCGTGGTCTTTTAAAGTCCGACAGAAGCTAACTGCCTCAGGGCACAAGGAGTAAGAGCTGTTTTTTGAGTGCTTAGTTTATGCAAATTAACCATGTGGTTTTAAGTTTCGTTTCTGTAAAACGTAAACTAATATGCACAAAGCTGTGTGGATAGGGAAGGCTTGCGAACACAGAATTGACGTGTCTGGATGCAAATTGTTTTCGATATGGTGATAGAGTGATTCGTTTCAATGTAAACGTAACCTGAGACACAAAGGCGACAGAGAAGTGCAGTGTAAATGTTGCTGAAGAAAAACTAAAATTTCCCTCTGGATCAAGTACCTCTCTCTATAGAGCTGACCTGTAACATGTCCTGGTGATGGAACCTGCTTGTCTCCAATACATATGTTTAATGCTATACTGTGGAATATTCTAGGTAAAGTCATAATAATTCCAGGGTAACAAACAAGTAACAAGACTCTCCATTAGAAAAGTAAAGCAGTGCAAGACTACTAGTACCTAACATTTGTTCTATATAAGACACGAGACAACTACGGTCATTACACTGAGGAGAACAGGTAGTTAGATGAAGCCTGAACAGTAAATTGACAGGATAGATTTGATACAGTTCTAGGCATTGCTTGAACAGCTCTAATGCAAATAAAAATGTCATTACTGTACAACACTATTTTCACACAGGGATTACAACCAAAATAGCATAGCCCAAACAAGCCTCATTTTCTCAATTATTGGCACAGCTCCAACGATTTCCCCCAGAACCAGATCCTTTGTATTTGAGAGTCCGTGTGTTTGTTTCTGACTGATGGGCGCCTGGAGAGAGGGGGGCATGCATGGGTGCTCCACAAATCACATCTCCATTAAAAACCTGCTCGTGCCCATTATCTGACATTGTGTTTGGACAGCCACAGTCTCTTTGCACAGACACAAACGCACAATGAGCACACTCTACAAAGGTTTGTTTTCCCCGTCTCTAAGGAGCTTATAGTAAACAGGACAGAAAGCAAGGCATCCATCAGGCAGCTCAAATAGAAAGAACTGCATTTTTAGATCTGTAACGTGCAGTATATTTCACAGTTGGTACAGTTGATAAGACAGACCATCTAATACTACTGAGCTCTGTACTTTCACATAGACTTGGACTTAAACAAACTTTATTGATCCACAAGGGAAAATATTTGGACACAGCAGCAAAAATATAAATGGTAATAATAAAAAGTAAGTATTTTTGCTACTTACTTTCTCTTATTTTGTAAGTTTTTCCAAGTTTAAGTACTGAGCTTAATGGTTTTTGATGGTTTTGATGCCTGATGATAAAAGTTAAAGTAAAAAGTTAAAGTAAGGATAGACTTAAAGTTTTAATAGGTGCTTGCGATGGATGATGCTTGTGCCCATCAACAATGAGGTTGCTGATACAGTACCAGATTCTAAAGGAGTGATCATACTTGCACAGGCACCAAATCTTGCATTCTTCACTTTTTTTTTTTTTTTTTTTCATATTTAATATTATTTTGGTTATTATTTATGTACTATTATTTATCTTTCTTTTCTCTGGAGACACTGGGGGAGGGTAATGTCTTCTGTGACATTGTGCACAAAAAAGTTATTTAAAAAATGCATCAAATCAAAGTTGGAACTTAACTGAGACGTAACCCTGGACTAAACCTGCACTTGACCAATACTAAATCAGGACTAACACAGCACCAAACCAAGTGTATAACAGGACTCAAACCAGGACCAAACCAAGACAAATTCAAATGAACCTGTAACAAGTGTTTGCTTATTACTAAATAATAAATGTGTAACAAATATGTAATAATTACAATTGTAATAACCATGTAATAACCACGTAATAACTGTGTAATAACCACGTAATGACTACTATGTGTAATTAGCGGAGTTGGATGGTCAAAAGATCCTAGGTAAGGCTACAGGAGGGTAGGGGCAGCAAATTAAGACAATGGACTAGTTGAAAAATGAATAATGTGTATTATATAGGAAAAAAGTGAGATAACCCAAAATATACATCAGCTGCAGCAAAACAAAAACCAACCAAACTCAAAATCAATTAAACGTCCTTGAGAAACCGGTCTGTTTGCCCAGCGTGGAAAAACAGAGTTCAAGCCACATCAGTGTCCAGTATTAGTTATTATGAGGGGTACAATGCCCATTAAGCGCAGATGACCGAACAGTTAAGTAGTGGAGGTAGCTTGAGTAGGTTGGGAGAGGACAGGCGGTTAACCTCCTACCAGACAGGAGGTTCTTTCAAAGGACAGTTCCTAGCTCGCCATCAGATTAAACCCAGTTTTGGGCACCTGGCCAGTTCAGTATTGTTTCAAATGAAATGCCCAGCACACATGACAATGTCCCGCATCGGGTCTGGTTCTTCAAAGCTCTGTCCCCTGACTTCTGTCCCACACAACTGAGGAGAGAGAAGTCAGGGGACCTTATATACTCTGTCTGATGAAGTGTGATTGGATAATTGGTGAAATGGGTGGTGTGATGGGTGGTGTCAAGGGTGGTGACAAGTCATGTGGCACAGGAGAAAACCTGGGTTGGATCTGGGCAACCGGATTGAATTTTACCCTGGTTACATACCCGTACAATTTATTTTACAATTTATCCATAGTGAATTTCCACTATAGAACATACAATTCCTACTCAAAAATAACAGACATATAGGCTTCTATTGTTTGTGATGGGAATAACATTAAGCTGATGATTGAATGATGCAAGAAAGACGGCAACTATTCATGTATTCATATAACTCAAAGGACAAAACTATTTAGTGCCAAATTAAAACTACAGTAAAAGTATCTATGCAGATCTTACACGCAGAATGACAGTGTGAGAAATCTTACAGCAGGTAAAATCGACCCTGTGGTCTGTGTGTCCATTACTCACTGAGACAGACGTTGTCATGGAAAAACTCCAGGAAGTCGTTACACTGCTCCCGGTGGTTGCCGCTGGCAGCACAGGAGCACCACGGGCCCACGTTGGAGGTGGAGTTGTCCAGGTAGTTTGGAGTGATTGTACTTCCTGCAGAAAGAGGAAAAAAGGATCAGCAAATGAGAACAAGTGAAAAATATTTGACAAGTTTACAGGCCATCGAGCCAAGATGTTTTTGTTTTAGTTTTCAAGTGGTGATTCACAAAATATGCTGTTTATTTTGCTCTTATTATGTTGCTCCATCTGGCAAAATAGTAACATGTTTTAAAAGGACATATGTAACTTTTCCAGTGGAGGGTCTGCCATGTGCGTGTTTCCATGGAGTTACTGTTTTTTTTCTGGAAAATTGGACAGTATTGCTGGGTTTCAGGTGACCTCACAGCTTTCTATAGGCCAAAAACAGTTACTACAGAAGATGTATAGCTAAAATCAGTATTGTTCAACTGCAGATTTTTGTTGTTATATAGCATCTTGGGGTCTAGTTAGTAATAAAAATGATCAGGTTCCATATTTGGGAATTTACTTTTCCGATATTTCATGGCAAATACAATGTAATTAATGGGAAAAGCTCGTTCTTGCCCTGCATTTGGAAGTATGACATCATCACATGTCACGTCTCTATGGAGACAAGCATGTGACAACACCAGGTTAAGTTACAGGTCAGATCTGTGGAGAGGGGACCCCAATTAGAGTAAAAATGCATGTTGTCCTCTTAAATGTGAGAAATGTTTAATGCCATGCTGTGGAACATTCCAGGTCAAGAAATGGCACATGGAGACTAGCAGGACCGGAAAAGTTCTATGGTGCACCTTTAAGTTAAGTTCTCAGTTTTGAAAAATCAATGTCAGTTAAAACATTTAAACCATTTATTTTAGTTGCCTTGACAACCAGCAAACCAATTATTTATTTGGATTTACTGGGTGTTGATCTGTTGAATAAACAAACAAGTATCAGTTGCATTTTAGTCGAAAGCAGATAAGGAGTATCCAAAACTCTTCACTTCCATTTGCGACATAATTTGACCCTGAATCCTTGCACTTAGTCGATCTTCGTCTATCTTATTCATCCAAACTCACATCTTGGGCTAATAAAATCTCCCAAACTTCAACACGACATTACAGAATTTGAGCGTTTTCAGAATAATAATGGCAGGAGTTCTTCTTAGAAACCCTTTCAGCCATAACTAGTATCTCCAGCTGGGTATTATTCACCGGCTCAAAGTGCTCTGTGATCACGCAGGAGCCCCGCGGTGGTCCTCCACGGCTCTCCCCTCTAAAGTCCTCTCCTCCTCTCTCCTTTACGCCTCACGCCTCTGGACTTTTTGAAATGTTTGTGGAAGTCATTGTGGGAGAAGGGTGATACGTCTTTGTGAGCCCTGTATTTTTAAAGTGGCTGGGAAACAAAATGGTTGCTCTTTGAGGCAGAGGGGATGTGGAAAAGTTGTGATTTACCTGCATTGATTTTGTCCCTGGTCCCACAGTTTCAAACAGGAGCCTGGATTCACACTTTGAGGTGAGTTTAGGAGAAGAGCCAATCACTGTCACACAACTCTCTGTCCTCTTTTATCTGTAGCGCACAAAACTGACACTCCCGGTGCAGTCTCCAAGGGTAAAAAGTATACATAGTGTTGATCTACTCAGGAAGTTTACCAAAGTGGATAAGAATTAAAAACATTTAGAATAACAGCCTTAAAAAAGAGTGAACATATATGTAACTTTCTGCCAAAAACTAGACTAAAATAAAATAATGTGTTTTGTGGATGTTTACTCGCACTCAACTGTAAAAGGGCCTCCTCCTGCTTGTTTCCATGGAAATGGTCCTTTAGCTAGAATATTCCACAGTATGACATAAACCCATATAAACCATAAAATCTATCTCACAAGCATGAACCAAGTTTTAAGAAAATGTTAAAGAAATATATTGGAAAGTGTACATAATTATATTTAGTCACTAGTTATTGTAATTTGTTGGATTATAGTTCATGTTTTTGATGTAGTGTGTATATACTATGGAACAGGACTGTATGAACTTAGGAGTGAACTTTTATAGTTAGTATAATGGAACAGTTTCATGTAAATTATGTTAACTTGGACCACAGGAAGAATGGTCTTTACATCTTTACCCGATTAAAGACTAATGGAGATCCAATAAATAAATAAATAAATCTCCATGGTTTAACTTTCTATTTCCACTGAACCGTACAGTTGACTTTCCACCCCCGAAAGTTACAAACTGTGACTTTAATTCAAAATGAATACATAGTTTATTAAGTTGTATTAACTACTTTATTAACACCCTCACCCAAACCCCAGGTAATTAATTACCTGAATCTGAATAAAGTATTAGTATATTATGAAAGTAATAGTATGTGTTCATGATTTATTAAGGCTAATTAAGGTTATTATAAGTTATTATATTTAACTACACATTTGTTGGGAATGTTGAATTTCCTTCTTTTTTCTTAATCTAAATGAAAAGGAAAATATTATCTGAACTGTCTATGAATATACTACTGTATTTCTGCTAAAAAAAAAAGCAGCAGCAGCAGAAGTAGTAGCATCAGTAGTAGTAGTAGTAGTAGTAGTAGCAGTAGTAGTAGTAGCAGTAGAAGCAGTAGTAGTAGCATCAGTAGTAGTAGTAGTAGTAGTAGTAGTAGCAGTAGTAGTAATAGTTGTAACAGCAGCTGCAGTAGCAGTAGTAGTAGCATCAGCAGTAGTAGTAGTAGTAGTAGCAGCAGCAGTAGTAGTCGTAGTAGTAGTAGTAGTGGCATTAGCAGCAGCAGTAACAGTATTAGTAGTAGTAGTGGTAGCAGCAGCAGCAGTAATAGTAGTAGTAATAGTAGTAGTAGTGGTAGTAGCAGCAGCAGTAACAGTAGCAGTAATAGTAGTAGTAATAGTAGTAATAGTGGTAGTAGCGGCAGCAGCAGTAGTAACAGTAGCAGTAATAGTAGCAGTAATAGTAGCAGTAATAGTAGCAGTAATAGTAGCAGTAATAGTAATAGTTGTAGAAGGAGGAGGAGGAACTAAAGCCAGGCAAGTTCCAGTCTGTTGTAGAACTGCCCCCACTGATTGCACCATTGTCAAAAAACATTTGAAAAACATTTGATTAAACATGTAATCTTTTGGACCACCTTAATTTCAGACATTTCTCTGAAGAGCTAAGAGGCTGCATTATGCCCTCAGCCAATGTTTGTAATTCAGCCCAAACAGCAGTCAATAGTTGTAATTGTGCTCCTTATGATGCCAGCTCCAGCCTCAGACGCATTCATCAGACTGTATTGATTAGACTGGACCTCACTCACCCTCTTTATTCTTTCACCGCTCCTCCTCCTCCTCCTCCTTCGCTCTCAAACCATTTAGCCGAGCAATTCTTTACCAATACAGCAACTGGTGAACGAGGATTGAACCAAGGGGCAAATATGTCAAACTATCTCTTATCGCTGTTGATTACACAATATATTTATTTTGTACGTACATTTTCAAGTTTTTTTTGTTCTATTGATATTTTGAAGCTGATTGTCAACATTCCCTAACTGTCTGAAGCCTTGTCAGACTTTAATCTGGGCTGACAAAGCTGACTACAACAAGTGAGCTGAGCTGTGCTGTCAAATAACATTAGGGCTACAGTTACAGACAGCATTAGTCAACAGTTTTTCAGTTAGTCACTCTCACCTTTTAGTTGAAATTAAACTCCTAAACAGAACCGTGAACGCTCGTGTTGATCGCAAGCTCCTGAAAATATGTTGTTTATATCCATTTTGTATTTTTATTGAGTTTTCAGACTATATTAAAACTATTTTTGGAAACTTTTGACATTCTGTCATGCATACATTACCAGTCAAAAGTTTTAGAACACCCACATTATTTATTGCAATTCGAGTCGTGCAAGTCCAATGAAGAGCTTGAAATGGTACAAAGGTAAATACTGAACAGCCAGAGGTTAAACAAAAAAGATAAAAGATAAGAAAACACAAGTCCAAGCTCTGCCAAAACTACCTCAGGAAAAAAGAACAAGACGGTAAAGCTTGAAAACATGGAGTGTCCAGCTCAGTCTCCAGACTTAAACCCCATTGAGCTGGTTTGAAATAAACTGGACAGAAGAGTGACGCAATCTACAAGTGCCACACATTTATGGGAACTTCTGCAACAGACTTGGGACGAACTTTCTGAAGAATATGTTGTATCTGTTATATTTGCCAAAGATGGACACTTTCATGAATCAAAAGTTTAAAATATGTTTTGGTCAACAGTAAACAGTAAAAAACTAGAAAAAGTGTGGTGTTCTAAAACTTTTGACCTGTAGCGTACATGTAGAACACCCCCAGCTTGATGCCACTGCAAAATATCCATGAAAACCCAAGCATGTGCTGATAATAAGCATAGAATCATTACTAAAGATTTTCAAAACAGTATCTTAAAGTTGCACTGTGGAACTTTTCTGGCACCAACCTGGCTCCTTGGAGATGTAATTGCTTTGCCTAGAATCCACACTTATCTACCTCCACGAAGACAAGAAGGTGACTCTACCAGGCCAAGTTATATGCCAGATCTGTGAAGAGGCAAGCCCACTTTGTTTTTGGCAATGTAAACACCTAAATGCTATAATACTGCCGTATAAAGGCAAAAGACCTTAACTCGCCAGATTGTGAAACTGAGAAAAATGTTTCAAAGCTGGTGGTTTCTCATATGGCTTTGGATGTAACAGTTGTCATATATTTTCTCGTTAAAACTATCAAATTGGCTCACAATATTTATTCACATGATAAAAGAGATTTCAAATGCCCCCAAAATGACTCATTTTTGACCGAACTTGATGTTACGGATGTTACAAAGGTGAGTATACAGTACTGCCAGTCAAAGCAAAACATTTTCCACGTGATAAACAGTTGACAGACCTTCACCAGAAAAGTTACATAATGCATCTTTAAATGTTGTGTCATGTACTGTTTTATAATAGAGGGTGAATCAAAGCAAAACTCCACTACATCTCTACTACAGCTTTTATTTTCTTTTTAGCTGCTTTATTTCAGGTGCCACTGTTGTCCCCAAAATGGCCCTATAACATATAAACTTTTCTCTCTCACGTCAACCAACTTTATGTTCTCATTCAATACATCTATAACTCTCCTCTTTGGGCTTCCTCTAGGCCTTCTGTTACCTGGCAACTCCAAAATCTGCAATCTTAAGCCCATATATACACATCGTTCTTCTGAAATATTCCTATCTGTTTTCTCTTATTTTACCTCTATAACCCAACTTTCTTATACTTCCCCATCCCCGGAGAACTTACCTATGAGTCCGGTGTACGCGAGGAGGCAGGCCCCGTAGTTTTCCTGTCTGCAGCCGCTGGAGCTCAGGTCTGAGGGCTGGCAGTCGAACTGGAACTGAGACCAGCGGGACCTGAGAGTGAAGAGGGACATACAGCACTGAGACTGGGCCCGGGTCATGGTGGAGAGAAGCAGGAGGGTCACAAACTCTCTACTATACAATACACTCACTGATACTGTAATCACCTTTGACCTTTACAGATGAAAGTACATTGATAACGAAAATATAGTTTGCAAAGTAGTAGTAGTAGTAGTTTGAAGGATAATGAACTGGAAATAAGACTGTAACTGAGACAACACATTTCACTTGCCAGACCAGCCAGTCCCTTCTACATTCTGTCAGAATCCAGAAGGGTTTGGAACTGAACTAAAGAGGGTGAAAATCCTCCGTCCAACCACGGTCCAACCACAGCTGTTCATTTGTAGCACATGTCTCTCAAATGCAAGACCAAAATTATCTTTCAGAACAAAATATGTAACTTCTTTTACTTGAAATAGGTGCTTTGATGTTTGATTCTGCAAATATCTGTGCAATTTCTCAATCCTTTATGTTGCTTCCCCCCCTTTTTTATGTGTAAACCTCCAACGTGAACATACCACACTTCTCTCTGATTGGTTAATCCGCCTGTCAGTCACATCCTCTGAAATCTGGGAGACAGGAAACAGCTCCAGATCCACTTGTCTCTGTAAAGTTTTATCAAAGTGTCTGGTTTTGGCTGGTCAGGTAAACCTTTCCCTGTCCTGTTTCTGTATTACTACCAAGAAAATACTAAAAAGGTTTCATGGAAATCTATGGTTAAAATTGAGAACAAAGTTAGAAATAATCAAGCTGACATAAAAATAAATCTGAATTGCAGATGTGCCTTGTTTCCGTGTAATTACACTCTCACTACTTATGTTAAAACCATTCTCACTGTGCTGTGAATCTCAAGTAAAACAAATGACGAGGTACTTCTAATGCTACTTCTAAAGAGTTTGGCGAAGGTTAAAAAGTGTTCTTGTGAAAGACAGTGCATTGAAATGTGCAGCGGAAATATTGGACCAGACTAGACCCTTATAGAAAGCATCTAAACCAGACACCCCTGAGGCCACAGTCTGAACACAGCATAAGAGTAGTATAATTTCATTTGTAATAATATCAGACAATGAGGCAGGCTGTGGGAGTAACTGTACTGTGAATCAGATCCACAGAAGCAGCAGTAATGGAGCTGGTGTAAATCCAGCCTGAAAGACCGAACTTTGCTCCTCAGCCTCGATCCCTGTTAAGGTTTCCAGTTCTGACTTGTTTAGTGTGTTTTAATTTCTTTTTCTAACTGTCCTGATTCCTGCTGTGGAATCCCTGGTCCGTGATTGGTGGGGCTTGTCTACGCCCACCTCACCTGCAGCCTCCTCCCCCTGTTTAAGAAGACTGGCAGCTCCTGTTCGGGGCTGTTGGCCTTGGTGGCCAGTCTGCCATTTTCTGTGTTTCAGTCATTTGTTTTTGTACTAGTACATGTCTCACTTTGTTTGTGTTGAGACACTAGTTTAGTTTAGTTCTGTTCTCGATTTTGTTTGTAGGTTTGTGTGGTTTTACTTTGGGACACGTGATTTAGTTTTGTTCTGTGTCCCTTAGTTTAGTCACTTGTTTTTGTATAGACCTACGTGACCCGTTTTTTGGCACAAAACTCATTATATGTTAATCCTGTTATTTTATTTCTTAGTTTAGGTTATTTTCTGTACATATTTTAGTCTGTTTTGTTAAGTTACTCTTTTACTTTCCTGTTAATTAAAGATTACTTAATTCAATCCATTCTCCACCTTGTTTTTTTTTTTATTTTATTACTTCTCTAGCCGCAGCAAGCTGGGTTGTAACAATCCCTCACTCTAAACACTCCTCAAGGCTACTTCAGTTATACCCCACCCCACCTCCACCCTAGCACCGCCTCATCCTCTCATCGTCTCCTTCACTTTCCTCATCCTCTCACGGTCCCCTTCACTCTCCTCATCCTCTCACCGTCTCCTTCATTGTCCTCATCCTCTCATCATCCCCTTCACTCTCCTCATCCTCTCATTGTCCCCTTCACTCTCCTCATCCTCTCACTGTCCTCTTCACTCTCCTCATCCTCTCATCGTCCCCTTCACTCTCCTCATCCTTCATCCTCCTCTCTTCACCCTCATCCTCATCCTCTCATTGTCCCTTCACTCTCCTCATCCTCTCATCGGTCTCCCTTCACTCTCCTCATCCTCTCATCGTCCCCTTCACTCTCCTCATCCTCTCACCGTCTCCTTCACTCTCCTCATCCTCTCATCTGTCCCTTCACTCTCCTCACTCTCCTCATCCTCTCATCTGTCTCCTCTCACTCCTCCTCATCTCTCATCTCCCTTCACTCTCCTCATCCTCTCTCGTTGTCCCTTCACTTCCTCACTCTTCCTCATCCTCTCATTGTCTCCCTTCACTCTCCTCATCCTCTCATCATCTCCTTCACTCTCCCCTCATCCTCTCATCTGTCTCCTTCACTCTCCTCATCCTCTCATCTCCTATCTGTCCCTTCACTCCCCTCATCCTCTCATCCTCTTCTCATCTCATCATCACTCTCCCTTCATCTCTCACTGTCTCCTTCACTCTCCTCATCTCTCATCCTCTCCTTCACTCTCCTCTCACTTCATCTCTCCTTCATCTCCTCCTCATTCCTCTCATCACTCCCTTCACTCTCCTCATCCTCTCATCATCCCTTCACTCTCCTCATCTCCCTCTCATCTCCCCACCTCTTCCTCTCATCCTCATCTCTCACCTCTCTCATGTCTCCTTCATCTCCTCATCTCTCTCTTCCTTCCTCATCCTCTCACTCTCCTTCACTCTCATCCTCTCATCGTCCCTTCACTCTCCTCATCTCTCTCTCCTCATCATCGTCCCCTTCACTCTCCTCATCCTCTCATCCCCTTCATCTCCTCATCACTCTCCCTCACTCTCCTCATCCTCATCTCCCTCATTCGTCTCTCTCTCATCCTCTCATCTCCGTCTTCTCCTCATCTCTCCTCATTCCTCTCCTCTCATCTCATCTCATCCTCTCACTCTCATCTGTCCCTTCACTCTCCTCATCCTCTCATTGTCTCCTTCACTCTCCTCATCTCTCTCCTTCACTCTCCTCATCCTCTCATCGTCCCCTTCACTCTCCTCATCCTCTCATCCTCTCATCGTCTCCCCTTTCACTCTCCTCATCTCTCATCTTCACCTCTTCACTCTCCTCCTCACCCTCCTCTCATCCCTTCTCCTCATCCTCTCATCTCCATTCACTTCTCTCATCTCTCTCATCGTCTCCCTCATCTCCTCACTCTCCTCATCCTCTTCATCTCCCTCTCATCTCTCTCTCATCTCTCTCATCGTCCCCTTCACTCTCCTCATCCTCTCATCGTCTCCTTCACTCTCCTCATCCTCTCATCGTCTCCTTCACTCTCCTCATCCTCTCATCGTCCCCTTCACTCTCCTCATCCTCTCATCGTCCGCTTCCCTCTCTTCGGCCTCACTTCAATCTCCGCCGGGGTCTGACTCATTCAGTAAATCTACTAATACTTTCTCCTTGTGTCTGTCTGAGTCTCTTCATCTTGGAATATTTGTATAATGTAAGCTTGGTTTTATTGTAGTAAAAGTTGTAGTAATATCCGACCTAACTTAGCACCATAAAAACTAATCTAATGTCTCCCCCTTTGTGTCAGTCCTCTTCACAGCCCCGCCTGACCAGAGCCAGTGAGTGCAGTGAGAGTCAGAGCTCGTCCTTGGCTCTGTTCCTAAATAAGTGTCTGCTGCCTATAGCTGTGCACAGATTAGACAAATATGGATCTTTCATATAAATGCCGCCATCTTCACCTTTCCTGGCAGCCACAGATCATCATCTTCCTCATCCTCACACAAGGCTATCCGGGCCATCCTATCACGCATCAGCTCCTGCAGGCTGGCATTTGCGTCTGATCCCCCTAAGGACACTGCGCTCTGTCTCTCTCTCTTTCCCCTCTCTGCCTCTTTCTCTCCCGCCCAACTCTCTCACTCTATCCCTCTTCCTCTAACTATCTCTCTCACTCCTCATACCTCTGTATTAACGCACTCTATACTTTGAGAAGTCATCCCGGGCCGACTGGGCTTAAAGTACATAAGCCCCTTTACTTGCCCTATTTTTTATTTTATTTTTTTTCAAATTTCTTAACTTTACTGAAGTTTATCCTTTTACTTCCAGGTTGGACACAAGTAGCAGATATGACATATGTAGAAGTTGCTATAATGTTAACAAAAGATTTTGTTCACTGAATGTTTAAGGCTACATTTATATGATGATGGTCAGAACAGAAGACGCAAAAATGGGGTCGTGTCTTCACTTTTTATTCCGTGTTTAGATGAGCGTTTTCAGGAGGAAATCTGTCTGCATACGGTGATGCAAAAGTGTGTGGAATTCGATTCGGTGTGCTTGTACTTAAAGCAGAAATGGCATCTTTGGACATATGGAAGTTTTTCACGCCACACATTTTCATCAGCTACTCCTTCCACAAAGTTGTCCCACCATCGACTGGTTCTCCAGGTCTCGTCCATATCCGTCTGGCTCACCTTTGACGAACTGGTGCATCCAGAATTTGACAGAGGTGATTGCAGATCCTTCTCTGTTCAAAAATAGTATCTCTGCAGATTCTGTACATTTTTTGAGAGCCTCATGTAAGTTTATTAGAGCTGCCAGAGCAACTTGAAGGTCCGACGCATGGAAATGATCTGACATGTTTGTTTCTGTGTACTGTCTGTATGTGACGTAAACATGTACAGTCCCTGACAAAAGTCTTGTCGCTTATCCATTTTGTAGAAACAAAAGCTTATAACTTGACTTTAAATTAATCGATTGGTTTTAGAAATGTCTCATATGAAAGCTAAAACCCTCCCAAATTATGCTCAATATACTAAAAAAAAATGTGCTTCACTGAAAAAAGATTGATCATTTAATGAACACAGAAAGGTCAGATTTTGGCAAGACAAAAGTTTTGTCACCTTGTCATATGATGCACCCAATCCTAGATTACAGCCTCACCTGTGATCAGTTACTGATCAGTCAATTAGTG